GGGCCGGGCCTGTTGCTTCCGGCCGGGCTGAGAGCCTGGCCTTAGGTTTCCGGTGGCCGCTGTTGCGGTGTGTGCTTTCTGCAATTCGGAGACCTTCTGTCCTCTTGGGCCTCGGTTCAGCGTTAGTTAACGGTTAACCTCCAGGGCAGCTCGTACCCAGGCGTGAGAGGCCCAGTGCGCAAGTTCGCCCGGAGAACTGGGCGGCTCCCTGGACTCGCAGCCCCAGGGCGGCCGGCGGGCTGTGTTTGGCGCGCTTGCCCGGCCCTGTGCGCCCGATGCTGTCTCCTGGTCCCTGCTGGGCCTGACTGCAGACCGACCTTACCGAGAGTTTCACAACTGTCTGAAGTCACGCCAGAGCTGGAGACATCTTAGAAGTGACAGCCAGCTTGACCTGAGCGTTAGCTACGGGCAGGGCCAACTCCAAACATTTGTGTTGTGGCAAAGCCTTGTCCATGTACACCCTCTGTGGCCAGCCTTTCTCGTGCAGCACAGGGAAATTAAACCCCCGGCACCAAATCTCGCGGAGCTGAGATTCACATCCAGGTGGAGCTCACCTGTGATCACGGGTCTCTGCTGGCCAACGACAGGAAATTTCCAGGGCGGCCACATGACTATTAAATTATTAGGCAAGTATTTGATTTTAAACATTTGTGGACGCAACTCTTGCACAGTGGCGTTCCTAAATTTTAAAAAATGAAGATCTCTTCTTTCCTGATGCATCTATGTACCACCAATATAAAGATCGCATATATGATCATGTATAATATATGTTGTACATAAATGTATACACATCGTACTGCATTTGCTTTACAAAAAGGCTTGTGTCTTCAAGATGGCTTACTTGCAGTCACATGGTTTTAGAAATCTATGGATGCTACCAAATATAAAACCTACCAATATACTGTATTAGCTCACTAATCCTCCAATTTTGTGAGGATTAAAATGAGCTAATACGTGCAACGTGGCACAGCAGTGGGAACAGACTAAGGATAGCTGGTCTTATCTGTTGCTATCCTGTCATGCAAAGACATACAGAAACTACTGAGGCATTTCTGTTCCCTGAACCAAAAAGCAAGAGTGTCACCCGGGAGATAAGCCTTCTGTTAATGTGTGGGCCAAGTCCCCAGACCTAGTAAAACCACCTTAGTCACTGTTCAAGAGGAGTAGCAAGTAAGTATCTTTAATTTCATGTCTCTTTTGTCTCCTGTGTCTTATGGAAACTTGAGTCAAAAATTTTTTCATTCAACTAGAATGTATTATCTGTGTTGGAAAGGAATCTAATAGTTACTGGGGATCCATTCAGCTAATTTGTAATTTTGTATAGAGTTAGCACTTTTAGAAATGTAATTTTTAAGCAGGCTAAAAAAGTTTTGAAGACAGTTGTTGAAGAGAACAGCTAATTTTTTCAGAAGGAATTTTTCATCTAGCCCTAAACTGAATAAATTGTCCAATTTTTCACTTTCTTTTATTGAATTAAGATTCTGTTATGTTAGATCTATTGCACAACATGTGACTATAGTTAATACAATATTGTATTCTTTTTTTACTCCATTAAGCTTATTGGTACATTTTAGATATAAAATACAGTTACATTCATCATTGGGATCTTGTACCTTTACATGATGTATCTTGGTTCTTATTTTTTTCCCCATTCCCCTGCCCTCCTTTCACCCCCTCCACCCTTCCCTGATTACAAAGATTTTGTTTCCATTTTTTTCCTTTTCCCATATTTTTTCTTTTCCCTTCTTTCCTTTCCCCTACTCCTCCCACTTCCCCTACTCCTTTAGACCTTTTCTTCCTATTACACAGTATCAATTATACATTCTTTTTAAAATTACAAAATCAAGATTTAGAGGACATTACAGATTTTACAAAATTTAAAAGGATATAGAAAGCATATTACAAAAATTTTTTTTGAAATAAATTTGACAACTTCTATGAAGTACCTTGGAAGACAAATTAATAAAACTGACTCTGGAAGAAATATAAAATTTGAATAGCACCTATTAAAGAAAGTATATTCCTAGCTTGAAAAACTACCTGTATGACAACAACAGGCTCATAACTGATTTTTAACTGATAAATTATATCAAACATTTAAAGCAGAAAAAAGAAGGAACGCATCTCCCCTCATTTCAGGAAATCAACATTGTGCTAATACTAAAACTGGATAAAGATAATAGAGAAAAGTATGAACATAAAAATTTGCTTAACAAAACAAACTATTAGAAGTCAGATCTGGCAGTATGTAGAAAGTGGTTTTATTATAGAGATGGCAGTATTGGTTCAGCATTGGAAGATCCACTCCCATAAGTCATCATTTTAACAAAGGAAAGGAAAAAGCCATATGATCCTATCAGTAGTTGCAGAAAAAATATTGGACTAAATTCTACAGCTGTTCATGGTAAAAGCTATCAGGAGACTAGAAGTAGAACAGAACCTTCTCAACAGATAAAAGACATCTACTCCATACTTCCAGCAAAAACACCTTATATTGATGGAAAAGATACAATGCTTTCTCCCTAAGGTGGGGAACAAGGGCAGATATGCCTACTCTTCATCTGTCCCTTAAACTTTGAAACATAGGCCCAAACCAAAATAGTCTGGCAATAAAAATAAACAAATAGCATAGAATTGGCAAAATAGAAGTAAAATCTTTATATGTAGATGAAATGATCATCTACAGAGAAAATACTAAGAAATCTCTAGGAGCCCCTAGAACTTGTATTTGAATTTAGCAGGTTTAGAAAACACAAGGTACATATAAAAACTCAGTTACTATATTGTATTCTTGAAAAAAAGCTAACAGTGGATGTAGAGTGTTCTCACTACAAAATGGTAACAGTGAGGTAATGCATTTTCCATAGTGTACATATACTTCAAAACATCGTATTGTACACAGTAAACAATTTTATTTGTCAGTATAAGGAAAATGCAAAAAAAACATTTTTATAAAAAATTCTAAAAGTGAGGCGGGGGATTTAGCTCACTGGTTTTGCCGCCTGCTACACAAGCGCAAGGACCTGAGTTCGATCCCCGGTACCAAAAAAAAAAAAAAAACCCAAAAATTCTAAAAGTAAACTCACAGGAAATGTGTAGGAGTACATGAATAGTTCATCAAAGTAACAGTAATTAAGGTGCACGCATGGACTCATTGTCTCAGTGGACTATGATATTCACAGTATTTAATAATAGAGTAATATGAATGTTAATTATAAAGTCATCAGATAAATAATACCATTTATGATGATGCATAGAGGAAACTTTTACAATTATTAGATAATATTTTTCTAAGCATATTGCAAAGCAGTAATTATAATTTTCTGAATTATCATTTAGCCCCAAACTCTTTGTTGGTTTCTTATCAGCCCCTTTGAAGTTCTCCAGAGTTTTTATAGGTTGGAGGCAAACCCTGCAGACTCTGTATGTTCAAAGTGACTGAAATTTGAGGAAGAACTGTTTTTGGTCTTCATTAATTTGAGAATCAGGAGAGCTTAATTAACTTTTTTTGTTAGTCTGTGTCTCTTGTATTTGGTTATCACTTGATAACTGGTGCTGTACTTTACTAGTTTAGAGGGGCGGGAGGGAGAAGTATTCATTTACTTCCTTTTCTAGTGCTAAGTTTTGACATAAGCTTTACAACATTCTCAAGCAGCTCATTCATTATCTATGCACATTCTCTGAGACTAGAAAGTGCAAATTTTGCCCATTTTTTTTTTTAGATTTTGTGTATTTTTGATACATAAAGTAATAACTTAAATATTGAAGAGTAGTTTTAAGTAGTATAAGGACTAACATTTTTAGCTATTTAAGAAATTTTATGTTTATTACCCCTTTACCTTCCTTTATAAATATATCTTAAAAACAGCTATTCAGGAATAATATATTATTAATTTTGCCCATTTTTGTACCTGCAAAAAATGGAAGAGTGCACTGAGCAATTTAAAAATGTTTTCATTGGGCCAGGGATTTAGCTCAGTGGTTCCGCCACTTGCCTCGCAAGCACAAGGACCTGAGTTCAATCCCCCATTACTAAAAAAAAAAAAAAAGTTTTCATTTGTAGTTATGTTTTTAAAATTAATTCAACTTGACATGGCAATATATTTTTCAGTGCCATATGGTATTTCACTGAACTAAAAAAGTATCCATTCTACTGTTGATGAGCATTGAGTTGTTTCCTTTCTTTTGCTGTTATATCATTCTTGTGAATATTTTCTAGTGCACAGATGCACATTTCTCTGGCATATACCAAAAGTGGGATTATCAGGTCATGAATATGTTCAGCTTTACTGGTTAATGCCAAACCATGGCAGCACTGTTGTAGCATCACTAGTGGTTGTTCCATGTATTCACCAAGAGTTGATAGGACTTTTCGTCAGTCTAGTATGGGTAGAAAACAGTATTTTATGTGTAGCATTACTTTGCATTTTTCTTACCAGGGTGAACATCTTTACATGTGATTTCTGGCCATTCAGATTTTCTCATCTGTGAAATGCTTGTTTGTTGCCCACTTTTCTTTGGTTATTTAGTGTTTTCTTACTGATTCATAGGAATTCTTTATAGATTCTGTATCTTAACCCTTTGTCATTTATGTGTTGCAAATTTCATATTTCACTCTCTTTTTCTTCAGCCTGTTTCCTTTTCTTTCAGTTCATGTCATTTCCCCTTGTTCATATCATTTTTGTCTCTCTGGGTGTTGTGTCACAGGCTGCAGGAACAACTCTGAAGGTAAATACTGCGGCCTTGCAATTTGTGTACTTAGGGTACCTGCTAAAATCAAGTAAAGCCAGATAACTGTTTCGAGACATAGTATTGCAGCCTCTTGTCAGCCATAGCTAACCCAGAAAATCATGGCCGTGAACCTCTTTGCCTTTTCTTAAAAACAATATATATATTTTTTCCATTAAGTTTATTGGTACATTTTAAGTATACAATACAGTTACATTCCTCATTGGGATCTTGTACCTTTTGTTTTTTTGGTACCGGGGATCGAACTCCGAACCTTGTGCTTGTGAGACAAGTGGTGAAACCACCGAGCTAAATCCCCAGCCCGGGATCTTGTACCCTTACATGAGTATCTTGGTTCTTATTTTTTCCCCATTCCCTGCCCTCCCTTCATCCCCTCCACCCTTCCCTATTCACAAAGACTTTGTTTCCATTTTTTCATCTTCTCATATTTTTTCTTTTCCCTTCTTTCCTTTCCCCTACCCCTCCCATTTCCCCTACTCCTTTAGACCTTTTCTTCCTATTTCACAATATCAATTATACATTTTGATCCTTAGTTACACTTTCAGTTTCTCACACCAGAGAAGCTAGTCAGTATTTACACGTGTGTCCTATTTATTCACTCAAGAGTATGGCCTCAATGTGCATCCACTCAGCTATAAATGTCTCTAGTTTCTTGTTCTTTATGGCTGAGTAGTACTCCATTTTATTTTAAAAAAAACACACACACATCTTCTTTATCCAGACTCCAATTGATGGGTAATTGGATTATTTCCAAGTTGTAGCTATTACAAACTGTGCCGCTATAAACATGGGTGAACATATATCACTGTGGTATGATTCTTTTAATTCTTTTGAGAAGTTACCCAGCGGGGGAATAGCTGGGTAAAATGGGACTTCTAATCCTAGTTTTTTGAGGTATCTCCATATTAATTTCCAAGCAGACTGGAAAAGCAATATACTTTTAAAAACAGCATATGTATTATTTTTCTATCTCCCCCCACCCCCCAAAAAACTAGGTTAATTACAGATTTTTTTTCCAGCACTAGGGCCTGAACTCAGGGCCTTGGGCAAGCTAGGCAAGTGCTCTATCACTGAGCTATGCTCCTGGCCAGACTAGGCCAATTAGGGCAAAAATTAACAATGCTAATTCCAGAGTACAAATCTAACATCCCTGTAATTTACTACACTTAATTTGTGTGATATTTTCCTTTATACATTGAAAGTTCTTGCCTCTTGCCGTCAATGCAAATGCATGTTGGTATAGACACACACACATACACAGTGCCTCTGCTTCAGGTTTCGCGCCCAGGATTATAACGATATCTTGTAATGCCTTCCACATGCTTTAGAGCTTCCCCTCTTAAAATGGTGACCCATAAATTCCCTCTTGTAAAGCTCACTCCTAATACAGAGATTTTACTCCTCAATAATAATTTCTCTGTTTTATAAACTTGGTTTAAAATGAGCCATGCTCTATTCCGACCAACATTTTGAAACTTCCAGTCAGTCATACAGGATTAAATATTTAGAGAAGCCATCAGGAAAATTCTCTGCAAAAGGCCTGAAGCCACTTGGCTGTTGATGAACAAACTTTTCTTCTTGTGGGGAGGGGTTGGGTCCATAGTTTGGAACCATTTTAAGATAGATTCAAGTGCCCCTTTTAAAGCCGTTGGATTTGTGTGTGTATATGGAAAATATTAGCCTAAGACTCCAGTGGAATTAAAGTGACAGGTTCCTGTTGATGGAGGAAAGGTATGTTGTATAACTTCCTTTGAAATATGACAATATTACTGTTTTGAAGAGGATGTGGATTATGAAAGATCATCTTCCTAAAACTGGAATATGTATTTGAAACTGATATGTGATTTATAATTTTGTTAAATATTTTAAATTGTACACAAATGCATGTGGTTAACATCATGAGCATTTCACAGCACACTTCTTAACAACACTTGAGTCTCTACAACTAACATGGGCCATTATTTTTATTCACTTCCTTTCCTTTTCTAGATATAATTTTTTATCTTGCTTAAGGCAGAGTTAGATACCTGTCAAGTTGTCTGGGTCTTCCTGTATTTTCCTACTGATTAAATCCAGTCATAAAATGATGAAATTATTAAAATAGAACTGAAATTTAAAATATTGAATAAAGCCTGGACTTGCCATAACCTTTAGAATTGCTGTTACATTTCATTTTGGAAGGCTTATGTCAGGCATAAACATCTACTGAGGTCTTAGGGGATAACCAGAGTTATGTGAGGCATGGAAATATACACGTGTACGTATTTAAGGTGGTTGTGTGTTTGAATTTTGAAGAATGGCTTCTAAGTGTTATACAGCGGTTAATAGTGTTGCACATGAATTATTATTTTGATTTAAAGGACTGCATTAGACCTATAACCCTTGAGCCTGTCCCTGTAGACAATATTTAGTGATTTCTTAGGCTTGATTTTGTTTTCCTCGCCTTTTGATTTTTATATTTAGCCAAAAGGATGTTAAAGGATAAAATAGAGGGCAAACTTTAGAAATACGGTGAAAAGTAAGTTGTGAAGGTTATATTCTGGACATAAGGCTTTACTTGTATATTAACCACTATTTGATTTCTGGAAGAGTGGAGGTGTGGGGAGAGAAAAGAACACAGGGTAGGCCCAGTCCTTTAAGAAACATCCAAAGTTCCAAGACAGATTTCCTAGGAAGCCCAGATTTACTCTGTGTATCATTCATTGTTTAATGCACAGAGGTGGCCAGCATTGGAGTGGATTTCGCTGCAGTGGCTATCTTCCCTGTCCTCCGGGTTTACAATTTGAGAAGAATATAGGATAGAGAAGAGAGCAGTAAGTGAATTTCATTTGACTAGCAATAAATTAGACACTACTAAGAATACCTTTCTTCAGCATTGCTTTCACTTGAACTCTAAACATTGAAGTGCTTTCGAAATTTTGTTAGACATCACTCTGTGAGTGATTCCAGTAAAATCTGTAACTTGAAAACTATCAAATGTGTCTCTGTAGTGATTCTCAACTCCAGCCTCCCATGTCTGACTGCTGGCTTACAGCTTCTCTTAGATGTCTCTCAGGTGCCTCAAACTCAGTATGTACAGAATGCAGCTTGATTATCCACTCTTGCAAAAGCACCCTTCCTTTCTCACTCTTTGGGACTACAGTCTACCTCATTGTCCACCTCACTGCATAAACCTAAAGCTTCAGAACCATCTTCCATATTTTTCTGTAGCTCCTTCATTTCTTTATCAGCCCAACTTCTCTGTGCCTTAGTTTACTTACTACACAATTAAAATACCTTTCTAGTGATATGTTGGGGAATTAAAGGAATTAATAAATAAATATAGTCTTGGGAGGGTGGTTGAGACAGGGTCTGGCTACATCATTCTGGCTGGGTTTGAACTCACCATGTAGCCCAGGCTGGCCTCCTGCCTCAGCCTCCCGAGTGCTGGGATTACAGGCATGTGCCACCACACCCAGCCAATAAATACAGTTTTAAAACAGTGCTTGACACTTAGTACAATTGATTATAGCCCCTGCTGTTATTGCTGTTGTTACTTTTTTCTCCTCTATGAAGGAAACAACCTAGCCCAAGTCACCATCTCTCTCATGGTCCACTGCAGTAACTTTCTGATTTCTGTGCTCTTGCTCTTCTGCTGCTGCAATCCACCCTCCATAGAGCCCAGGAGATTTTTCAAAAAATAGATCATGTCACACTGCCCAGCTTTATGTCCTTTAGTGGATTCCCACTGCTCTTACAACAAGCCCCACTCACAGGCTGCCCAACCTGGCATATGAATATAAGCCAATCTCCAATCTCTTCCTTGCTGTTGCTCAGGTCAGTCGAGCCTTTTCTTTCCTTTGGGCTTTTATATTTGCTGTTCCTGCAGTAAGATATTCTCTTCTACTAGCTCTGAGCATGTCTGGCTCACTTGCATTGAAGAGGTGTCTTAGTTACTTTTCTTCTTGTTGCTGAGACAAAATACCCAACACCCAAAGGGGAAGGAGGAAAGGTTTACTTTAGCTCAGGTGGTAGAGGTTTCAATTCATAGTCAGCTGACTCCATGGTAGGGTGACACCGCAGAGGGGCATTGCAGAGAATAAATAGTCCATGGCAGGGCAGGCAGAAGGCAGCAAAGCAGCAAGCAGTGTGCAGCAGGCAGCAGGAGAAAAGCAGCAGAAGCCTTTCTGTCCCATTATGTTCCATCCAGGCTATAAGCCTATTGATTGATCCCACCCACACCCATGATGAGGCACCCTTAATCCCAGCATCACATACACTAGATCCAGCCATCTCCTAAAAGCCCCAGTGCATGCAGCTTTGGGGGTACATCTAGACACAAGCCGTAGCAAGAGGTTTCAGCTCAGTTCTGCTCTCATTAACCTACCCAACCCATTCTTTGCAAAATCACCTTCCCTTGTTACTTTCTCTCTCATAGTATCCAGTTTATTTTCTTCAAAGCTCTTATAGTGTATGATTATTTATGTATTTGTTTACTTAGTATCAGTCTCACCATGTAGAATGCAGAACCCTTCCATATCTTACTTCACATCACATAGCGGATGTTCAGAAAATATGTATCAAATGAGTGAGCAGAAGGAGAATCTGAGGATCCACTGTTGCGAGTTTTTATTTTATAATTCTGCTGTGGTGAAGATTAACACCAGTAAGCACTCCTTGAGAGTTTTGCCTGCTTGTTTTTTTCAAACAGATATTCCTCCCAAAAGAGATGAAGAGAAATGTGTCTGTCAAGAGTCCTAAAGATAAAAGTAGGCGGTCATTAGATGTTGCCATGAAACTTTAAATTGTTATTTGTCATAAGTCTTTAATTTGGTCATAAAATTAAAGAACTGAAGGAGTTCTGCTTATTAATAATAGTCCAGGCACCTGCAGGTCTCATGGCTTAATGGGATAGGGAGTCCCTCTCCTGTCTCTGCCCACTGTGGAGTGAGCTTGTCTTACGCCAGCTACATAAGGTGCCCCAAACCTTGACATTGATGTATTTTGATATTGCCTTCTCATAGTCTTAAAGTGTACAGTACAGAATGTATGGAAAGAAGGTCTTTGTCACTTTCAAACAAAAAGGCTGAATATCTGTGCTGAGAAAAAATTGTAGTACTTGCAAACTTTATTCTATAAGTTAATTGAAGAAAAAAAATCTCTTTGAATGTCCAAAATAAGGCAGAAAAAGTAATGACAATTTCTGAGGCAAGAAAGTGAAAGGAGCCCATTCACACCCGCCCCCTCTTGCTAGGACCCTTGTCTGCTTGGGCCCCTGAGAGACGGCTGCATGCTCTAGGTTATGGCTCACCAACGACTCAGCCAGGAGGCTTTTCACATTGCCTTCCGCAGAAGTCTGCAGACACTCGGAGAATGAAACAATTCAGTTGGATTGCATTTGATCAAGAATAAAAGGGCACTGAAGCTTTAGTCTCTGTGCCTTACGAGTCCTGAAATTTCCATTTTAAGCTTTGAGATTACTCTAAATCTAGTATTAGAGGGTGGCAGGCTTTGTGAGTTTGCAACTTAGGGCTGGATAGCTTAGTGGTAGTGCTTGCTTAGCATTTGTGAGGCCCTGAGTTCAATCCCCAGCACTAAAATTGGGCCGGGGATTTAGCTCAGTGGTTCTGCCGTCTGCCTCGCAAGTGCAAGACCCGAGTTTGATCCCCGGTACAAAAATAAAAAAACACTAACTCAAAGTAATAAGTAACTATACGCTAGTATTTATGAATTATTTACATAGCTACAGAAAAATACATGGATTAGTCTTAAGAAATCCAGACTATTCTTATATATCTCTGTGAGCTGAGTTGTAGTCAAAATAATGAAGACCACTTGCAAATTTTTTTTTTCCAGCTAGCATGGAACCTGATGACTCTATACAAAATCCTGAAGAAAAGGAATATTCTTCTGTCTGTGTGGGCAGAGAAGCAGACATTAAAAAATCTGAAAGAATGACCGCTGTTGTCCATGATAGAGAAGTGGTCATTTTCTACCACAAAGGACAATATCATGCTATGGATATTCGCTGTTACCGTAAGATTTTACTTTTGCATCTGTAGAACTTTATTAATCACAAAACTATCAAAATTCAATTTAAAAAAAATTCAACTTTTTAGTGACTAGCTATAATATTCAATTCCTTTTTAGATTCAGGAGGACCTTTACATTTGGGAGAAATAGAGGTATGTAAAATTAAATTTACTCTAAACAAACTCAGATGTTTCTACTTTATATTATTTTGTTTCATTCTTTATTCAACACAATTTATATTTGGATTTAATTATATTTTAATGCTTTGAATATAATTGCCAATATTCTTAAGTATTCACAGCCCTACAGAGAGGCATTTCATGGATAAATATGAAAAGTATGTGTGTCTTTTCACCTAGCATTTATATTCTCAGATATCTAGCCTATGTATATAATTGCACAAATATTTAATATAGGAAAGGTTTATTCTAGCACTATATATTATAATGAAAAGTTGAAGGTAACCTAAATGTTTTAACAATAATAACTGGGTTCAATAAATTAAAATACAACCATGCTATGTAGCCATGAAATGAATGAGGCAGAACTGTTATCTGCTTGTGTGGAGGGATGTTAACAATATATGTGTAAGTCATACAATAATAATTCTAATTAGTTCTTATTTTTAATTAAAATAATATTTACCTTTTACTTTATACACTGTGTATACTGAAGTTTTATTAAGTATTTTATATAATGAAAAAAATTTTTTTTAATTTTAAAGAAACCACTAAGTTGCTGAGTAGCCCAGGCTGGACTAAAACTTTTGATCCTCCTGCCTCAGCCTCTCAGAGTGCTGGGATTACAGGAATTTACCACTCTGACCAGCTTTGAAGTTATAACTGAGGAAGAAAGGGACAATTGTCTTTACTTCCTTATATTCCAAACTAGTTGCCTAATCTTGGTTGTCTGTCTTGCTCTGCCTCTAAATGGTGTAGAGTATAAGCTTGAACTTAAGCATTTCATTCTCTCTACACTTGATACCTACCTGGTTTCACACTTGTCCTCATGTTAAAGGACAAGTGTGTTTAAACTATGAACATGTGAACGTTTGCTCACAGTTCTATGGAGTACAAATCAGTATTCTTGCATTTCTGGTAGAGGAAAAATACAAGCATCTGCTGATGATAATGTCATACAGATTCCCCCGGTTTCAGTCTATAAGAGCTTTAAGACCCTGCAACTCAAAGTGCAGTCCACAGCCTAGCAGCTTTGGCATCAGCATTGGCTTCTTAAACACACATACTCTTGAGCTCTCTGTAAGCTTACTAAATGTAGACAGATGGAGCGGCACCTAAACAGAAGCTGCTGTATCCTGTGCTCCTTAAAGTTTGAGAAGAATTTCACTAAGAGAGTTCCAAGGTTGGAATCACAAATTCCTCTTCATTAACATCTGCACTTAATGGCTTTAGTAACGCCTCTTGAATTCCCAGCTGCAGCGTACAATTCTTGCAGCAGCTAGCGGAAATTGCTTTAGAAGCACTAGAAGCCCTTGCACCATTTCTGTCAAGGAAGCGACATTGCCAGAGATTTAGCTCAGTGGTTCCACTGCATGCCTCGGAAGCACAAGGTCCCGAGTTCAATCCCCAGTACCAAAAAAAAAAGGAAGCGACATTAAGATAGATAACAGCACAGGCACAGTCATGTGGTGTATTGGCCTGAAACAGTCATCTTCTGATAGAGCTCTAACCCAATGGGCTTCTAATCAACTGCAAAAAGGGCTTGATGACTCTTCTCACATTAGGTTCTGCTTTATACAAAATTATTTGTAAATGGAGAGAAAAAAGAAAAGCTAGGCTGTTCTTTAAGCTGGTTGTTCTGCAGTAGATTCTGTACTAGCTTTGAGGCTTATCATGAAATGTCAGGTCTATTAAATCAGTTATTTCCTCCCCACTCTCCAGGATTTTGATGGACGACCATGTATAGTTTGCCCTTGGCATAAATACAAAATTACTTTGACAACAGGAGAAGGACTATACCAGGCCATAAACCCTAAAGATCCATCAGCAAAACCCAAGTGGTGCTCCAAAGGAATAAAGCAAAGGATCCATACAGTGACAGTGGAAAATGGGAATATTTATGTGACTCTTTCTAAGGAACCTTTTAAGTGTGACTCTGATTATTACGCTACTGGACAATACAAAGTAATTCGAAGTTCTTCTAGATAAAAGTATGTATATGGCAGTGAAAAGTGTTGTGCATGTTTTATAACATTTTAGAATAACTTTGTTTCAATACTAAAGATGAATTTTTTCAACATAGATACAAGTATTACTTATCTTTAAAGATGATACAGACCTGTGAAGTTTTAAAGCACAGGTACTTAGAATGTATATCATTCTAAGGCTTACCATGAGGACAACAGAATACATTTCATCCAACCCTCTGGATTGATCAGAACCTGAAAGTTCTAAGTTTGGGATGTTCAATTTAAGAAGGATTCAAATAATTTAGAGTAATCAAAATGAGTAACAGGTAGAAAGTATGATTTAGTAGGAGAAATTTTTAATAGAAAAAGTCCCTTTATGAGGTAGCAAACTATTCTAGGAGTTTTAATAATGTACAAAGTAAAAAGGATGAAACTGTGTCACTTTAAACACTTACCCGTATTCTTCTATCCTTGTTTCCTTGATACCTCCACAGATTCTACCTCTCCACTTGATTATTAGCTTTACACTGTTAATGGTAAAATTCAAGTTTATGAGAATTTTCCTCTGAAGTGCAGTTTTTCCAAATACACAACAGACGTTTTATACTTAAAAATGCTTCCAAAAAAAAGATGAATTTACATGCTACACTTAACAATGAGAAACTCACTAATGTGCTGAAGGTCAGATACTCCTTGGCTCAGTTTCTCTCTGGACAAGGAATATTCTTTTTTATTTTATTTTTTTGAAAATAGGCATTTTATTAATATTTTACTTTTTTTGTATTAAATTCTTTTATTGGTACATTGTAGGTATACAACACAATTACATTTCTCATTGGGAATTGTACCTTTA